AATAATGGTCACAAGCTGGCAGAGGGTAGATTCAGACTAGACATCAGGAGGCACTACTTCACTGTCAGGGCGGCTAGGATCTGGAACCAACTTCCAAGAGAAGTGGTGCTGGCTCCTACCCTGGGGGTCTTTAAGAGGAGGCTAGACAAACACCTTGCTGGGTGTTTGACCCCAGTACTTTTTCCTGCCAAGGCAGGGGGTCGGACTTGATGATCTGCTCAGGTCCCTTCCGACCCTACCAACTATGAAACTATGAAATGTCTGTCCCAGACCCCTTCCTGGTTTAAATTAAACCAGAGTCTTCTCGCATCCCAGATGCTTTGCAGCCCTGGGCTGGGCTCTCTGCTCCAGAGAACAGGGATGGCCCCACACCTCTGCTCCCTAGCAAGAGCTCTGGTGGAGACTGCAGGCACAACAGGGTCTGTCTGGCTTCCCTGCCCCAGCCCTTGTCCCTCCCATCTCCCACAGCACAGACCCCAGCCACATGGAACATAGGCATGTGGTATGCTAGCTAATGCTGAGAAGTGTCTGTGTGTGTGTGTTTCCAGTTTTCACTGGGATAGGCAGACAGAACTGTGTCCACTTAGGGCTTTTTGGAGCTAATCAACAAGTCAGCTGGTAGTGTCCTTCCATTCCTTCCTTGGAGAAAGCCATTTAAAAAGAGCTTGAACTAATGAGAGAGGCTTTTGTTTTGTTAATGGGCTGATAAGTGCTGTGTTATCAGTTCCCTGCTGGCTCCCTTGCCTGTCAGTTTTGCAGACAGTATGAAGAAGCAGGGAGAGGGAGACTGAAAAGCTCAGTATCATCAACAGATGCATCCACTGCACACACCCCCCCAGTTGCAAACTGATTCTATCTAGGCAGGTTAGATTAACCTTCAAAGATTGAATCAATTCAGGCTCAGAATTTTTGAATATCTGTCCCTAGCCCTGTTGTGTTACAGATATGAACCAGTTTCCAATCACAGAACTGTATGTGTCATTTCTGTCCCTTGCCTTTTAGACTGAAGAGGACTTGGGATTAAATCTCTACACAGGTGACATAGCATGGCATTCCCCTTTAACCTGGAAAACCAGAGATATGGGCTATACCCATGGCATTATCTTCCAGAGAATCAGAGAACTTGGTCAGACATGTCAAAGCTGCCAAGTATAATTTAGTCTTGGATCTTTCTGGGTCTCAGAGCTAATAGAGGCTATTTATAACAGCATTCTTTTACGCTGGCAAGTATGCTAATTTTCAGAGCTGAAAGCTTGTCCTGTTCGATCTATGCCTGCATTTTGACACACTGAGCTGGAAAGCAGCTTGGTCTGTGTTTGGGGGGGGGGGGGCGGAGTTTGGATTCTTACGGGTAATGGAAGGCTCATTCCAAAGAAAAAGTAGAGTAAGGCTCACAGAAAGCAGCAGAGAAGTCTAATGTGCAGACTGCTACGTCCATTATGCTCATGTAAATGGCCAAGGAGATGACCTACAGCTTACTCAAGAGTTGACCATGTTGCTTACAGCTGAGGCAGACATGAGGCATGCTGGGCACAGCCATTAAACTTCTTTACCACATAAATTATTTATTAAAGTGAATGTAAGAATTACAATAAACACCAGGATGGCACCTCTTCAAACAGAAATTCTCTGTTTATCCACAGCACATTTGTGCCAGCAGTTGGTACTTCCTTGGTAGTTTGTCATGTCATGTAGACCAGGAAGCTGGGTCAGCGTATATGGCATCTTTCCTGAAGCCATGGTGCCAATTGCTGCAGTAGTTTTAATAAGGGGACCCCTGCCCATATGAACTGGACTGAAACCATCAACTCCTTTTAGATGTAGTGGGCACCATCAGCCAGTCAGCACTCCCTGAGAATTACTGTACAGTGCTCAATAGGATGCCACATTTTTCCACTCTAGAGAGAATAGGAAATACCTGTGGTTTAAGTGGGCAATGTAGACTTTTGAAAGGAAACCCACAACCTTAGAGCACAGTAAACTGCAAGATGGAAATAAGACTTCATCTAAAGGCCAAGAGATGAAAGGCTCAATCTCCCTTCTTTGTATTTACCTAAGGATTGTTCCCTTGTGCTTTGCTACTGGGACACTGGTAGACTACAGTGAGGCACTCTAATGGCTGAGTGATGGGCAACAGCATCCTCACCATCTTATGTATAAGGCCCAGCCACAGGAATAAGACCCTGAGTCTTGTTACAGAGAGAGGTAGTACATATTACAAACGGGTATAAACCAGAGGTGAGCAATTATTTGGGCTGGAGGGCCACTTGAGAAGTTTTGGTGAGCTGTTCAGGGCTGGGGTGGGGAGTGAGGGTGCTGACCTGGCATCAGTCCCCGTGTCACAGATGTTTACGCTGCCTGGCACAGTGGAGGGTAAGGGAGTGGAAGATGCCAGTTGATCCTATCTGGCCTCAGACCCGTTTGCCCTGCACCCACTGCTGGGGTGCTGGATGGGGTAGGTGGGTGGTTGGGGTCTCCATAGAAAGCAGTCTGGGATGCCTGAGGGCAGGGCATACTTGGCTAAGTGAATGGGATGGGGCTGCAGGCAGGTGGGAGCTGCGTCCAGGAGCAAGACAGGAGTTCGGGTCCAGGACCAGGATTGTGGGGTGGTGACTCGTAGGTCTGGAACGTGTGTTAGAGCTGCGATCTGCTCCCTGCACATCCCTGTGATGAGAGCAGTTCCATGGGCAGCAGTTGGCTCCTGCCCAAGGAACTGGTGCCCATTGCAGAGGTGTGTGAGGAGCAGATCGCAGCTCTGCCCCAGGCTGTGGCCCCACACTGTCACCACCCTGTGATCCCAGTCCTACCCACACATCCCACTCCTGGACACGCTTCCCTCCTGCCTGTAGTCCTATCTCACTTGCCAGCCCATGCACACGCTACCCACAGGGGTCCCAGCTGGTTTCAGTGGAGATCCAGCCTGCTCTGCCCCTGGCAGCGGGTGCTGAGTAGACAAGCCAGGATGCCTAGGCAGCAATACTGGGTCCAGCAGTGGTGGCAGAGACACTGGGAGTGGCAGCCACAGGGGATTCCAGGAAGCCGAGTCTGGCCATCATGCTGCCCCACACTGCTGCCGTGCCGCCCCCTGTACACTGCTCCCTGTGTAGATGCGCCACGTGTGGGAATGGGGTGGGCTGCACTCCCTGCCAAGCAGTACCTCTGCACCTGTGGGGGGCGGGGACCAGCTGCATGTGCCATGGCCTGCACTGCCCTCTTCAGACTGGATGGAATCACTTGGTGGGCCAGATCCAGGCCACACACTGTATTTTAACCATCCCTGTTATAAACAGTGATGATGTTGCCTTGTTGGACACACACAAAATTGCTTTATTCTTTTATTGACATATCTATTCATCTTTTATTTCCATTTGTAAGCATTACCTTAATATAACCTGTGACCAAACTGGATGTCTGACTCATTACTATCTACTGTGCTCCGTAGGCATAGTCCCCCACCCCACCCTGTGTGTGTCATGAAATGAGGGAATATTTTCCTGCTTTGGTGAGCTAAATTTGGATGTGAACTAAGTGTGTGGCCCACCTTGAGGTTTGAGACTGAGTCACCTAGCTCTTGTCATCTTGTCAGAGTCTGGGCCATGGCAGCAGTGACAATGCATTGTAGAGCAATGCTAGCTTGCTGCATGCTGGTAATCCAAGGTCAAATCTATCCTTTAGCTGGTATCCTCCTATTGCTGCACCTGCAATCAGCATGATGAATGGGAGCAGGGTAGATACACCACTGCTCAGTGCCTTCAGAAGACAAGAATCAGTGACAAAAAGAAGAAATTACATATTTTTACTCTTGTTATATTTTCACAGGGTGAGGCTGGGCCACTTGGACCCAAGGGGTACCGAGGAGAGGAAGGAACTATTGGACCTGAGGTTAGTCTGTGCATGTTAATCAGTCTGTTTTTAAGGAGGAAATGGCTGTGTGGCAAATAAAGCTTCTGAATGATGGTTGGAAAAGGCCATCGTTTAGAACTCAGTCTCTTGCCTCCCAGGAGACAGGCTATGCAATCCTGTGGATTTTGAAATAAACACTTGATGCTGTATGAGAAAGGACACCAAAGCTGTTTTTTCAAGACAAGCAGCCAGGCTTTTCATTGTAAGGGTGTTTGGATCTCTTTGGTCTGTTTTTTGGGTACTGCTAGCAGTTAGGTACACAGTAAATGACTTCAAGCTCTTTACAAGTTTTTGGGACAGTGAAATCATTCCCAGTCTCTGAAGGAGGAGCCCTGCTGGAGTATCTAGTCTCATCTGAGAAGCCAACACAGGCATACTTCTGGTAGGGCACCCTCTGGGTTCTGGTCTGCTCTAGGGTGCTTGAAACGACTTCTGCGATGGGGCTTATGCCATTTCTCTGAGAGGAAAAGAGAAGTGCAAAAAAGGCTTGCAGTCCATTCTTTTGACTGTCCATGACTAAATAAAGTCCCATCCCCATCTGGAAAAGTTCACTGTTCCCATTTATATTCTTCAGACTACCAGTGTTGTTCTAAGGTAGGAAGTGGGGGATCAGAACACAGCAACGAAATGAATGGCAGCTGTTGGCTTCTGAAGAAATCCTTTCTATGCATTAATATACTTTACTGTAAGAAGGACTATTTCTTCCTTGTTCTTTCAGGGCCCTAAAGGAGGTCCTGGAGCACCTGGATTGCGTGGAGACCCTGGTTTGATAGGTGAAAGGGTGAGTTGTATTTCTTAGCCAACTCAGAGATGCCAAAAGGAGTTTGTACCTGGCTGTGATGGCCAATTGGTTTTCCTAACAGAACTGCTGGTGTCTGTGCAGGAACCTCTGCTGGAGACTCCATGTTGGGAATGTGTAAGATGGGTGCGCACTGACCATGCCTCCCAGCTGGTATGCTTCAGTATCATTCTGTTCACTCACCTGGAAGTCTACTGACTTATGCCAGCTGGCCCATTGACTCCAGTGAAATGACACTCCTTTACACCAGCTGAGGAGGCCCACTGACTCCAGTGGAGTGACACTGACTTTGAACAGGCGCAGTGTATCCCATCATATTCATAAAGTGATGCTCTTTTTATGTCATCTGGGATTGGGTCTGTTGACTCTGGAGCATCTGTGCTGATTTATACCAGCTGAAAGATATCAGCCTTTGACTTAGTGGAGTGACACCAATTTATGCCGGATAGTGGACCTGGTCCATTGACTCCAGTGGACCTATGGATGATATATGCAAGCAAAAGATCAGGCCCACGGGAGACTCAGCTAATGGATTTAAGTCAAACAGTAGCATAACTGGGGGGGGGGGGGGAACCCGGGGGGGGGCA